AATCCCCTCAAAGGGTCTTCTAGGACCCCCTTCTGCGGGACCCCTGCCCTTCAGAGCCCCCCAACACAGCGCAGGGTGCACGCTCACCATGTCAGCGACCGGAGCACAGTGCAGGGACCCACGCTCCTGGAACGCGGAGCCCCGCTTGGAAATGTGACCAATCAATGCCCGACTCTGGTCTGACGGGCAGCCTATGGACCAATCACCAGGCTTGGAGCTGGCCTATTATGAAGAACGACGGGTCGCTCGCATTGCATGCTGGAAGTTGTAGTCCAAACTCGCTGGGCGAGATCTGGCCGGGTTTGAGACTTTGAGGGTCTTTTCTGCGGCCGCGTTCTGTGTCTGTGGCTTAATATTCTCATCTGCGGGGACCAGCAGGTGGCGTGGTGGTTTGGGAAGCTAGACTCCCTCATGGTAGATTATTGTTCGAGTCCCAGACCTGGTGGCTTGCTGTCTCACTTTCTCTGTCTCTCTCCCTCTGATCAAATTAAATAAAAATAAATAGGTAATTATTTTAAAAAATAAACAGACATCTGGCTCGCTGTTTTAAAAAATTTGAATCTGGGAACCAGCAGTTAGCGTAATGGCTATGTCGCTGGACTCCCACGTAGTCGACCGCGGTTCATGTCCCGGACCCGGTGACTTAAAACTCATGCCGGGCGCGTGTGCCTGCGTGCCCAAGATCCCGAGAGGAGAATGGAGGAGAAGGGATTGCGGTGTGGCCATCCCCCCTGGGGGGTGATTTCTCGCTTTCTGTCTCTATGTCTCTCTCTGTCTGTCTGGCGAGCGCACGCGCCCTACAGTGAAAAAATCTCTCCAAAAAAAAAAAAATTGAATCTGCATCTATCTCGTAGGTCTACAGCAAAACATTTATTCATTCACGCACTGGTTTTTTTGTTTTGTTTTGTTTTGTTTATTTATTGTGTTTGGAGAGGTTTGTTATAGGGTACGTGCGCTCACCAGAAAGACAGAGACAGAAAGTGAGAAATCACTCCCAGGGGCGATGGTCACACCGCAATCCCTTCTCCTCCATTCTCCTCTCGGGATCTTGGGCACGCACACACACGCGCTCGGCATGAGTTTAAGCCACCCGGTCCGGGACGCGAACCGCGGTCGACTCCATGGGAATCCAGTGATGTAACCATTACACCATCTGCTGGTCCCAATTTCCCCCATCTTGCAATGCATCTAAGAATGGATCAATCTTTTTATTTTTTAAAGAATTATTTATTCAGGGAACCAGCAGTTAGCGCAATGGCTATGTCGCTGGACTCCCACATAGTCGACAGCAGTTCGCGTCCCAGACCCGGTGGCTTAAAACTCACGCCGGACGCGTGTGCGTGCGTGCCCAAGATCCCGAGAGGAGAATGGAGGAGAAGGGATTGCGGCGTGACCATCCCCCCAGGGGAGTGATTTCTCACTTTTTCTCTGTCTTTCTCTGGCTGGCTGGCGAGTGCACGCGCCCTATAGCGAAAAACCTCTCCAAGAAAAAAAAAAAGAATTATTTATTCAATTTTGATTTTCTATTATTTTTATTTGCTCTAGGGCCCAAGTGCTCACTAGAGGGACACATAGAGAGAGAGAGGGAAACAGAGAGTAAACCACCAGGTCCAAGACTTGAACTGCTGTTGTCCATATGGGAGTCCAGCGCCACCTGCTGGCCCCATAATGGCTCAGTCTTTTTCACCTGGCAGAACTCTGGTTGTGCCCCTCAAAAATCCAACCCAAATGGGTTCAAAAGGGAAACAGTTGGCTCATGTAACAGAAAATGCTAGAGGCTGTCGGCTTCAGGCATGGCTGGATCAAGGGCCAACAGTCGGCCTTGGGAATCTGGTGTTCTTTCTTTCTTTTCTTTTTTTTTTTTTGGGGGTATTTTCACTTTAGGGCGGCGTCGCTCG